CAACGTCCTGAAGCCCGTGGTGAACCGCATCTTTGAGGAGAAGAAATACGTGGAGCTGGACCCCGGCAAGATGGAGCTGAGCCGCAGCAGGTGAGTGCAGGGGGATGGCTGGGGGGGACGTGGTGCCTGGCACGTCCCAAGACATCCCCGTATCCCAGTCCCCTGCGGGAGGGGGTCACCCATTGCTGCTGAGCCCGTGGGGCACCTCGACGGCTTTTGGCCAATTCAGGGTGGCCCGTTCCTGGGCAATCGGGTGCCCCCTGACCCGGCGGTCGGCGGTGTCCCCACAGGAGGATCTCCTTCAAGGGGTCTATGTCGGAGGCACGGGTGCGGGAGAGCAGCCTGGAGCTGCTGAAGGGATACCTGGGGGACATCGTCGACGCCATCGTGGGCTCGGTGGAGAAGTGTCCCCTCATCATGAGGGTGGCCTTCAAGCATCTCCGCAGGCGGGTGGAGGAGCGGTTCCCCTCGGCGCAGCATGAGGTGGGGCAGGCGGCAGGGCTGGGGCGGGGGGTCTGCGTGCCACCGGGACCACCACCCCGAGCCCTGAGCTGTCCCTGTCCCCGGCCAGGAGGTGCGGTATTTCTCCATCAGCGGGTTTCTTTTCCTCCGCTTCTTCGCCCCCGCCATCCTCACGCCGAAGCTCTTCAGCCTCCGGGAGCAGCACGCCGACACCCGCACCGGCCGCACGCTCCTGCTGCTGGCCAAGGTGCGAGGAGCCCGGGGAGGGATGGGGACCTGGGGGAGAGATGGGGACCACTGGGAGAGATGGGGACCTGGGAGAAGAGATGGGGACCTTGGGGAGAGATGGGGACCCCAAGGAGGGATGGGGAACCTGGGGAAGGGCAGGGACCCTGGGGAGTGATGGGCACCCTGAAAGAGATGGGGACCTTGGGGAAGGACAGGGACCCCGAGCAGGGGTGGGGACCCTGAGGAGGGATGGGGGTCTCAAGGAGGGCTGGGGAGCCCAGGAAGGGATCAGGACTCCAGAGGGACCTCAGAAAGGACAGAGACTTCAGGGAGGGATGCGGATCCTGTGGAGAGATGGGGACCCATAAGGGATGGGGATGCCAGGGTGGGATGGGGACGCCAGAAAGGCAGGGAGACCCTGGGGAGCGGCAGGAACGCAGGGGAGGGATGGGAATCCTGGGGAGGGACAGGGAACCTGCGGAGGGACAGTGAGCCCAGGGAATGATGGGGACCCCAAGGAGGGCAGAGCCATTCCTGCCCCCATGCCACGTGCCACGGGCTGCTCCTTCCCACGCCGCTAGAGGCCAGCCCTGCCCGTCACCGGGTCGTGCCACCACGCATCAGGCACAGCGCAGGAGCCGACCTGGGGCAGCAGTTGTGTCCTATCACCCCCTGGGCTGCTCCGCTTTTCCACTTTCCTCCCCAATTCCCAAGCCCCCGGGGTTCAGGGGAGCAGCCGGAGGCGGGGGTGTCCCCCCGCAGCCTCCACGCCATGGCGGGTACGGCAGCATAAGCCCTTCACCGCGCGGGGCAGGCGCTGCAGAGCATCGGCAACCTGGGGCTGCAGCTGGGCCAGGGCAAGGAGCCATGGATGGCCCCGCTGCACGCCATCCTGCTGCCCAGCGTCACCCGCGTCAAAGCCTTCCTGGACGGCCTGGTCGAGGTGGAGAGCGCCGAGGGTGAGCGGGCACGCCGGGCACCGTGGGGGCATGGGGGGCACCACTGGTGCTGGGTTCGGCCATGCCAGCACCCAACATGGGTGGCATCATCCCTGCTGTCCCCCACCTCCTGGGAGCATCCCCAGGGAGGGGGACCTGCTCAGTGCCATGCGGATGCTGCCAGGACGGCCGGGAAAGGGCATCCTCGGGCTGGGGGAGGCGGTGGCACTTGGGGTGACACCGCTGCCTCCCTGCCTGGCTGTGCCATGGCTGCAGCGGGTGAGGGGCCGGTGCCGCTGGCACTTTTCCGCCCCTCGGCCACCATCAAGGAGGGGTACCTGCACACCCGCACGGCGGGGGGGCCCGTCCTGCTGCCCCGCTTCGCCTTCAAGAAGAGGTACTTCTGGCTGAGCAGCGAGGCCCTGACCTATGCCAAGTCCCCCGAGTGGCAGGTGGGTGCTGCCCGTGACCCCCACCCTGTGTCAGGTGCCTGGGGGGACGGGGGACGGGGGTGCAGTGAGACGCGGTGTTTCGGGGTTCCCAGGTGCGCTGCTCCATCCCCGTGCCACGGATGCGGGCGGTGGAGCAGGTGGACGAGGGCACCTTCCAGCACCCCCACGTGGGGCACCCCCGGATTCCATGGGAACAATGGGAATGGTCCTGGTCTCAAATCCAGCTATACCCAGGCACTGGCTGTACTGGGAACCCTGGGGCGCCCAGCCCTGTCTGTACTGGGGTCAAGGGGGTGTCTGGGCCCTGGCTGTACCGGGAAAACTGGGGTATCCTACTCTGGCTGTACTGGGGTCACTGGGGTACTAGCTCTGGGATACTGGGATCAGTGGGTCCTATCGGTATCAGCCATATTTGCACTGGGGTCACCGGGCTACCCTGGCTCCTGCGGTGCCATCTCCCCACCAAGTCCTACCTGGGCAGCTTTGCCATCAAACTGTCACTCCCGGTCACCTGGCCCTGGTGCCCACCACCATCCCTGGTGCCCACCCCTGCCAGGGACCCTGTCGGCATGGCCCGTGCCCGCCTCCACCCTCCTCCTCCTCCCCGCCAGCAGTGCCCAGCGCAGGGTGCCTTGTGGGTGCCCGGCGGGGTGCCACCCTCCCTCCCTGTCCCCGCAGAGCGGCCAGGAGCTGTGGCAGTGGCTCTGGGCGGTGCGGCAGGCCAGCAGCACCAATGAGGCCATGCTGCCCACCTGCCACCCGGGCACCTTCCGCGCCGGCCGCTGGACCTGCTGCCTGCAGCCTGCCTGCACCGGTAAGGCCGGCAGGCAGCGTAGGGTGGGATTTCCCCTGGGTAGGGGATGCGGGGGTCCCCCAGCACCCCCACT